TCCACCAAATTCTATACAAAGACTCATTCTTCATCAAAATATTGCCATCTCATTTACTCCTTTTTATATCATAAACTCAAAAAATGGTTGTTACTCAAATTTGTATTTATCATCGCTGTTATTTAAATTTAGCATTTTATTCAGAAGTGTTGCCTCCCGTAAAAGAAATGTCTTATGCCATTTCACCAGTTTTTATTTTGACATTATGTGGAAAGGCTGTGTGTGTATCTAGCTCTGTGGTATATATAATTTATGACTTCACCCCAAAGTAGCTATTCACCTATCCTAACTAGCCAGGAATGCACTATCTGCATGGTTTATAAACAGTCTTACTGCAAAAGAGTCTTTTTTAAGAAAGGAAAATTTCATTTCTCTTAGACTAATAAATAGGTACTTGTCTGTTGTGGAAAGACAAACTGGAAATGTAAGAGCAAGACAGGTGCTGATTGCTCTGATGGATGATTTAATTTATTTCAAATCAGACTCATGTAATGCCTTGTTCTGAAAGGATGCCTCACTAGTAGCTGCCAGTTAGAAAGTAGTTATCTTTAGACATGTAGGTGCATTGTGTTATGATGTCTCAAAATAGTAAGAGTAAGCAAATGACTTAATTTGGCAGATGTCACAAAAGCCACAAAGCCTCTAGGGATAGTTCAGTGTGTTAGGCAAATATTTTAAACCCATCTTTGTTTGGAATGTGAGTCATTAGTTTTAAGTGTCATTACCACTATTTGTTCATTGTTCCTAATTGGGTAAATTCCTGAAATACAAACTCTGTTTGAGTTGGTTGCCCTTTCCAGCCAGCCTTTGCAATTTCACTGTAAAGTTCCATTGGTGAATTTTTTTGTACTTTGGCACATTTATTGGATAGCTGTTTTCATTTAATTTTGGCGAAATTGAGGGTCTTAAACCCAGGGTATAATCCATTTTGTAATATTGTTAAAATCATGCTAATTTACATGTTATATAATTAGGGAACTGGGTAGACTTTGAGCATATTTAATTGGTTTTAAATTTAATACAGTACAATGAATTTTGAGTTTGAGTATCTATCTCTAGTAGTACATTTATATGTACAACAAAGAAATTATTGTCTAAAAATAATAAAAAAACATTTTACTTAATTTACTACATATATTTAGAAAAAAGTATAGATAGTCCTTGAATTACAGTTGCAACGGAACCTGCCCTTTCTAATCATATGTCGTGATGGTCATCAGTTGGGTCATCCATGTGACAACCTGATTTTACAAACTTTTTTTTATAGCAAATGCAAATGCAGCGGCTGTTAAGTAAAGCTGATTTTCAGCAAAACTATAGAATAGAATACAGAATAAGAAAATTGGAAGGGATCTTGGAGGTTTTCTAGTCCAACCCCCTGCTCAGGCAGGAAATCCTATACCGTTTCAGACAAATGGTTGTCCAATCTCTTAAAAACATCCAGTGTTGGAGCATTCACAACTTCTGGAGGCAAGTTGTTCTACTGATTTAATTGTTCTCACTGTCTGGAAACTTCTTCTTAGTTTCTCAGTTGCTTCTCTCCTTGATTAGTTTCCATCCATTGCTTTTTGTCCTGCCTTCAGGAGAATAGCTTGACTCCCTCTTCTTTTTGGTAGCCCCTGAGATATTGGAACACTGCTATTATGTTACCCCATATCCTTCTTTTCATTAAGTATGTGGTCACATAACTGTGGGGCACTGCAAATGGTTATAAATGCTTGTAGTTGCTGACTGCATTGAAATATGATCATGTGACCCCATGAACTTTGAATGTGGATCATAAGTATCCCCCAGGGAGGTCTATCATAACTTTGACTGGTTGTTAAGTGACCGGTCATAAGTTGAAGACTATCTTGAAACACTACCATTAGCCATTTTAATTTGAAGACAGACCCAGGAATAGAAAGAACTGTTTCTACAAATAAGGAATCAGAAGGTAGTGTTGAAACAGAAAGAGAATGAAATACAAAGTAATGGCTTCACTTCATCACATCAGAGAGGGTAATAATTATAAGTGGAAGAATACCAGTCAGAGGGCAGATCTGATGACAGTAATCTACATTGCAACACTGAGAACATTTTTTAGGAATCTGAAAGTCCCCTGCATTTATCCTGTTGTGAGTTGATTGGATTTATTTATCCAGACTCACATTTTTTTGCATGAGAGATTGTTAGTACCTTTCCTTTAAATGTGAAAGCTAGCTAGTTGTAACTATTTATTCAATAACTTCGTTATATTCTTAGTTGCCAGTAGGGCCAACAGTGTTTTACTTTCTTGAATTAAAATTACACGATGAAGCTAATGGTTGCAGTCATTCTGCAGCAGTCTTGCTCATAGGAACAGGTGATATAAATTTGGTTCAAAATTGATTAGATTTAATCAAAAATTAGACACTACATCCCTAGGAAGCTATAGTATATTAGCAGTGATAAAATCAGATTTCAGAATCAATAATGGGACTGAAAATGCAAAGTCACAGTAATCTTTCAGTACTGTGTGAATATATGAAGGGGGTAATTTATTCACATTAAGTACATTTCTACATCTTAGACAACATGTATATTGGAAATGTGAACAACAAGATGGAACGTTATCATTCCTAATGGACAAATAGAACAGCTAAAATTTTGGATTCAAATACGTATATTAACTTAGAAGATCTTAAAGTTTAATACAGCATACAGTTGACACCAGAGATATTCCTTTTGGGACTGCTGGGCAAACAGTTGGAAAAATACTCACAGAACCTTGTTTTTGTATATAACAACAGGGGTGAGACTTTTATATGCACAACGATGGAAAGATGTGACACTATCCACAATGGAAGAGTGAATATTGAGTTAAAGGAGCTGACTGAGATAGCAATATTGACAGTTTTGATTAGAGAAAAGACATTGGTTGATTTTAAGGTTCCTTGGAAACCCTTTTAGATTTTTATCATGAAACAGAAAAAAATGAAAATATGAGGTGGATTTGTTGATTATAACAAATGGTAGACAATAGCAAAATGAAAGTTATGGTAATGTCTACTGTAAAAGAAAATTAGAAGTCATTTCCTTGTATTTCTTTTTGTTTCTGCACTTTCGGCTTTACTTTTCATTCTTTATTCTTTTTTTATTTTAATTATTAGTTTGTGTTAGTTTTTATTTGAAAATCTAATAAAGTTATTTAAGCAAAAAAAGTAAATTACTCTAGTTACTCCAATAGAATATAACTAGTCTAGAATATACAAACATAAATTCTATTTAGATGGATATTGAAAAGATCTATTTGATTTTGCTAATGTATAAAACCTAACATTAATATAAAATTAGAAATTACTATGATTTTCTTCAAATAGAATCAGATATTGGAATAGAATTCTTTTCTGTCTGTTATTGTGCTAGTCTATGCCTATAATAAATATTGATTTATGTGTTAGTGCACTTTAGTTAGTATATAATTTAAAAGCTGCTCTCTTGAAACTTTTAAAAAAAGAACTTAGCTCCAAAGCTGTACAATTCCCCATGTCATTTGTAGCTGTGATTAAGAAACTTATTATTATTAACCTGGAAACAAATAACATTCTTGTTTAAGTCAGAAAGTATTTTAAGTTGACTTTCTTTTTTTCTTAATTAGTTTTCTTCTAATTAATATTGGTATAAACTAAATATATTGAAATACTTTTTAAAAATATGGCTTGTCTTTTTGGTCAGTTTTTTTCATTATTGGAGTCTAATAAACTAACATGTAGGTGAGAAGACAATATTTTATTTTATTTTTATTTTCTATTATTTTACTTCTGTTGACATTGATTTCATTTTTCTTCCTTTTTATTATAGTAAGCTGACTAGAGTAGCCCCATGGTAAGATTGGCGGGAAGTAAATTTAACAAACAAACAAATATTAGCTACTAATAAAGAGGGATAGTTGTCAGATTCTAAAATCATCATCATCTTTAGATCCTGTGCAGAGTACATTGGGTAGCAAGTGAAATTCTAAAATACTTTTTCCGGATTTGAGCTTTCAACCCTCTTTTCTTCTATGCAAGAACCATAGAGATAGCTTTCACTTTCTGAGGTTGGTTTGTTGGGCCCAAAGGACAGAGAATTTTAGACATAGGGAATTTCTTTCAATCTTTATTCTTACTAATTTAGGAAAGGAATCAAGATTTTCTATTTCAGTAGGCTTTTTTATATTGCATTAATTGATACTTGATTTGGATTGTTTTCACGAGATGTCTGTGCTTTTAATTTTTACTGTTAGTTGTCTGGGGAAAAAAAGCAGAGTTCAAAATAAAAAAAAAGAAAACATTGGTGCAGAGTTGTGTGCTAATTCCTTTTGAAAAGAATCCTGTTAAAACTGTTAATACTATCTGGGAAAATCAATAATAATCAGTCAGGGTAGATCAGTGATGGCGAACTTTCTAGAGACCGAGTGCCCAAAAACTGGCCCCGCCCCTATTCTACTCCCCTGCCCCGCCCCCACTCTGCCCCCCATCCCCTGCCCCGCCTGCCCACAGGATCACTCACTGCCTCCATGGCCCACTGCAGATCGCCCAGGCCGCTATGGCGGCCACACTCTCTGCCCGCGCCCTGCAGTATCAACTGCATGATGGGTGTGAGGGCAGAGTCTTGTCTATGCTGCCTGGCTGCCATGTCCTTGGCTGCGCTGCTCCATGTGGGCCACGCTCGAGGGCGACTCTCCTTCAGGGGGGCTGCTGAAGAGGAGGGGGTCGCAGGGGGAGGCAAGGCTGGAGCAACGGCATGTGTGCCCACAGAGAGGGCTCCGAGTGCCGCTTCTGGCACCTGTGCCATAGGTTCGCCACCACTGGGGTAGATGGTTCTTTTGGAACTGAATCATGATTAATCTGAATCTTTTGTTTTGTCTCCTGATTTCATGAAACCGGTTGTCAAAAGCAGGTGTAATATGGTCCAGGGGAAACAATGAGAGATACTTTAGCTCTTTTAGTGAAGAGTTCATACTTATTTTTCTCTTTCACTTCTCCTTCTTTTAACAGTGAATGGTGGTTACAGCCATTATAATTTGATCTCTGAGAATAACGTGGTGGACATGGAGATGGCAAATAGTTTGGGGCCTGTGTGTAGACAGAACCTGCTTTCCCACTCAGGAAACTCATTTGCCCGAGAACACCTGTTGCCGTGTGAAAGACTCCTCCAAGTTAGTCAGCTGAACATGTCTTGCGCAGATACCAGGTATTGTTTTCAGCTTTGTTTATCCTACACACACAAGCATTTTTGAAGTTGTATCCGTTCCCCACTGAATATGGTTCCATATTTGCATATCGTCCCTTCACCAGCTTTTCAGTTTGTTACAGTGACACCTTATACCTCAAGTGCACCTCCTGGGTTATATTTTAACAGAAGAACATTGATGATTTAGCTACAGTCCAAAAAGAAAATACCTAAAGAGAACTGTTTAGTCCTCTAGCTATAGTCCCCCCCAAAAAATAGTCCTTGCTTAACTATGGGACCTGCAATTCTGTTGTTCAACAATGTGATTGTAATGCAGAACTTCATGTGATTGTGCCGACATGATGGCAGCTGTGGCAATCTCACTTGTGGTGGTTATGTGAATTCCACGCAATTGCGATATCCTGTGGTCACATGAGCACCATTTGCAACCTCCTGCTAGCTTCTCCATTGACATTGTCTGTCGGAAGCCAACAGTGAAGGTTGCAAATGGTGGCTGCAGGATGCCGCAACTGTCATAATTATGGGCCAGTTGTTGAGCACCCAAATTGCGATCATATGACAGTCATAAGTTCCCCTTGTTCAGCACCCTTGTAACTTTGAACAGTCACTGAATGAGTAGTTATTCAAGAACGACCTCATGCACTTTGAAGAGAACAGATTTAGTCCTTTGTCAAATAAAAATTCCTGATGGAGCATCCCTTCTCATGGCACTTCTAATTCAAAATTCCTAATTAATGTAGTAACCCACCTACTTTAATTAGGAATTTTGAATTAGAGATGCCATGATATAAGGAATGCTCCATCAGGGAATTTTATATGGCAAAGGACTGTATCTGTTCTCTTAGGACAATCTTCTCTATTAACATAGAATTATAGAATCATACAGCTTGAAGGGATCTTGGAGGTCTTTACAAGTCCAAACCTCTGCCCAGGGCAGATGGGTATCAGGTAGCAACTAAACCATATTTGGTTTTGGCTTATTGTGTTTTGTGAAGGCAGTCATTTTGACATATTCCATGAACCATGGTTAAATAAATTGTGGCACATTGCCATTTCTTTTGATTTATATAAACTAATTTAGGGCTTTAATTCTGGAAAACAGTTCTGCTGTGTTTTAGCAATGGTCCTTCCTGTATCTGAACAATGCCATGGTATCTCAAGTTAATTAATTTCCTCCATTGGTGTGGTTTCCTAAAGCCAAATTAATATTGGCTAATCACTAAGATAGTAATTTAAACAGAGTTAAAAAAAAATCTGTCTCTTTCAACTTTGCCATCTTTATGTAGTATAATACTGTATATGTTGGGTCTCTTGAGCTTTATGAGGGGAGTTAGAATATCTTTCACATTTTTCTCCAGAGTTGAGTACTGCTTTTACAGACCACGATTTCTGTGTATTCAAATTGATCTCTAACCTTTTCCATGCACTCTGGTGAATGAGGAGAAAGAAATTGTGTTTGTAATCCAGGTTAAAATAAATCATCTACTTGAGTTTAAAATGGATCAGAGGCTTGGTTTCAAGTACCAGAAAGTAGATATTTCCAAGCTACAACATGAAAGGAAAGAGGGTAGAGCAGTATTTTCTGTAAGATGATACAATAATATAGAGTCTTGTTAATAGGATATTAGTGCTTTTAAAACAAGGAATAAAAGCCATCAAAGTGTTTAATTTCTATAAAATGTAGCTGGATAAAAAAATATCCTTCCTTGGGAGATAATGGCAGATGTACTTTTGGAAATCAGAATTGGCAAGGTTTGTTTACGTTGTTTGAGTATAACTATCTCTTTATAATTAATTACTCAGCAGAATAAGTGCACTTCAAATTACTGTACTATAAAATCCTATTTTTGTATAGCGATCCCCAATTATTTTGCCTATTATTCGATTCTGTATATAAAGTAGTAATTGTGGAGCAGGTGGGTCAAAATCTGCAAGATGGTCACACACATCTACAGAAGGAGCATTTTATTGATAAAAACAAAGAACTATAAACTTCAACATTTTTGTGAATATTGATTAACTGATTTTATCATTTTCATCTGATTACATCAGTGACAGATTTATTCCCAGGCCTATTTTGTTTAAGAAATTGAAACATCCCTTTTAAATCTAGTGTTGTAAAATAGCATTTTATCAAGTTTTCAGTTAAGTTGCTTCCTCAGTAGATAGTTAATTTCTACTGAAGAAGAAATTTGCTACAAATAAAAAATATACTTCCAGTATTTATCATGTTTATAAATCCCATGTAAGATATGGCCTTCATATTCTATAGCTCGTGGCCTCCAAATCTAATTTGGAGGATTCCCTCCTCTCTTTAGACCAGTTTTTGTGGCCATGCTGAAGACTGTGAGGCAAATGGCGTTCTGTCTGTCCACTGACAGATACCCTTCTTTTGCTGAGAGTGATTGATAAACACCAAGCCTTTTTTTTTTAACCAAATCTTGAAATATTTTGCTTCTTTGAACATTTGAACAGTAGTAGACAAAAGCCCTTCAAAACTTCAGCTTTTATTTGGAATACTGTCTAATCCCAGTTTTTACAGTCCCAGCATGAGACAGCAAGGATTTCAATTCAGTCATGGAAGCTTTGCTGTTTTTAATTTTATTATATATGTTAACGCCATCTTGACCTTGTTAGGAATCCACATGGTGCTTACTATTAACAAGCTGGTTTTATTCTGTCATTGACGACAATTATGATGCAAAGATAATTGGGGTTGGAGCAAACAAAAGGAGGAAGAGAAGACCCGGCTTAGATCTTTTCAGGAGCTTTTTCAAAAATCCATAATGAGGAAATGACAGATGTCTGTATTCAGGAGATCATAGTAGTCCCTTATGAAATATGAACTCCTTACAACTCTGTTTCAGAGAAGATTCCCAGAACAACACAGGATTATATGCCACAGAACATGAAAGAGATGCTATTGTGATATAAAGCAGCAGGTGACTGAAATAATTCCTTTTATTCCTGAAACCTGCCCTAGGTTCTGTAGTTTTGCCATTTTCTCAGTAACTGAATAGTGAATGTATATCAGTTTGCTGATCTCGTCATTAGTTTGCCTGCTTTTGGCATCACAGGTTCCATATAAATTTATATCTCTATGTCTCCTTCTCTCCCGCTTCCTCCCTCCCTCCTTCCCCCCCTCTCTCTTGCTTCAGCAGTCGAAGTGGTTACGCCTTATCTTTCATAGCACAAACAAGTTGTACACTTTGTAATAGTTTCCTTACTTATCACAGTATTCAATCCTTCAAAGCAAGTGACTGTTTGATAAGGAAGCCCAAGTTATTATGGTAGGTTTCTCAAGGAATGCCCCCATTGCAAGCTGAAAGAGACTGCTTGGGTTTCTGCAAATTAATTTGGCTTCTGGTCAACAGAAATTTGTCATTATAGATCATAGTTATATTAAAAGAAGAGCATATCATATTTCTTCCAAGTTTAATTCAGACTACAGGTTTACAGTAGTTACAACACAGTTGAGCCCAAAATTTATGTTGCTAAGAGAAACATTTAAGTTAGTTTTGCCTCATTTTACGACCTTTCTTGTCACAGTTGTTAAGCGAATCATTGCAGTTGTTAAGTTAATAACATAGTTTTTAAGTGAATCTGGCTTCCCCGTTGACTTTGCTTGTCAGAAGGTCATAAAAGGTGATCGTATGACCATGGGACACTGCGACCATCATAAATATGAATCGGTTACCAAGCTTCTGAATTTTGATCATGTGACCAAGGGGATCCTGCAGCAGTCGTAAGTGTGAAAAACGATCATAAGTCACTTTGTTCAGTGCTATTGTAACTTCGAACAGTCACTAAATGAACTGTTGTAAGTTGAGGACTAGCTGTATAATGTTCACAGTGTGATTAGTTGACAAACCAGACTTCAAAAAGTGAAATTCAAGATGTAACTTGTGATCTATGCTTGTAATTTCAGCCTAATTTCATCAATTGTGTTTAGAATTTTAGAAAGCTTCCGGAAACATGACTGAACCCAGCATTGCTAGATAATGCTGGTAATATGGTTGTGGCTTGGCAAAACTTCTAATAAACACTGTCTAGTGCTGAAACTACTACCTTTTTTTCTAATATGGATCCATGGAACACACTAATATCCTTGTGTTTAATGCCTGTTTAATATAATTTGTTCTGTTTAGACTTTTCATTGATGATTGATTAATCAAAATCTTAAGCATATAAAAATACTCTAGGTTATCTCCCTGCAGCAATATATTACTAGGATTATATAACACTGTCAATACTACCAATGCTTTTCAATAATATTGTAAGCACAGTTTTTGTGTACTATCTCCCTACAATTCCTAGCAAATGGAGCATTCTCCCAATTATAAGGAATAAGACAAATGCATTCATCATTTTTACATTGTACTTGTTGCTTCCATCTGTCAGTTTGTCCCATTATTTCTTTCAGCCTGCTTGACACTTCCTACCCTATGAAATCCAACACTGCATATGTGTTTGAAAATATTCTTATGCTGTATATGCTAAGATGAAACCAAATCTGCAACAAATTTAAGTCAGTCGAAGAAAAATGTTAAGTGGACTTCAATTGTGTAAAATACCTTGAAACCTCATCTAATAGTAGCTGATCCAGGGCTTTCAATTTGTTTTTGCCAAATGACTCTTAAATAGTAAACTTTAGGGCTGCATAGTGCTTTGGATTCAAAGGCAAAAAGAGACTCAGAGGGCAACTGAATGATCCTGGAAAAAAATGTAACTGCTTTAAAAGGAGCTGCAAACTGATGCCTCTAAAGCATCTTTTTGCCTTGGAGTCATAAGCACTGCACAACCATAGTAAATTTCATCTAGAATAGAGGAAGGAGAGGAAAATGTTGACATTGTCCATCATCTTCCACATTGCCTTATGTTAAAGCTGTTTTCCTTAGCCTATATCCTAGGATTTGAAATCTATCTAAAATGGAATGAGCTACAGCAGGGGTCCCCAACCGCTGGTCCGTGGACCAGCACTGGTCCACAGCATCCCATCA